AGTGTCATTATTTTTTGGTGATCTGCTTGCATCGTAGCAGATTGGAGGGTGTTTGGAGAGGAGGGAGAGGAACTAGGGCATCAAGAATTGGTTCCGTGCGAATCCTTTCACATCACAAATTGATTCTCGTGCGAATCCTTTGACAGGGCGGTGAACAAAAGGCAGATGATACAGGAGAATAGGGAGGAAAAGCTAGCGAGATGGAAGGGCTAATACGAAAATGAAACGAGAAGAGGATTGATGGTATCTGGGAGCGAAGAGGGGTTAGGACAGAGTAGACGCGAAGAGGGGTTAGGACAGAGTAGACGCGAAGAGGGGTTAGGACAGAGTAGACGCGTAGAGGGCAACTTCGTCCAAAAGAAAAACAAAACGCGGATCTTGCCCAAGGCAACTTCATCCAAAAGAAAAACAAAACGCGGATCTTGCCCAAGGAGCTGCGTCTGACATTTAGTTAAAAAGCCAAACATCGTTTTGTAAAACGCTATTGATACACTTTCTTTAAACGATATGACGGCGTTTTCAAATGCCGCCGCAGTGAATAAGCTGTCCCCAACGGACCCTAAATGTGATTTCCTCGGATACTCTGCTACTGGTGTCTTAATCTTATCACAAACAAACTTGATGCGAGTGCTGATATCTCTTTCTTTGAAAGTGTCATCTACTTCTCTATCACTGCTTCTAGTGAGGGGGAGCTATATATCTTAGACATTGTTCCTTATCCGACTTCTATGGATATTTCTCCAACCACTATATCCGAGGAGCCCTTTGTCCCTCTTGATCCACCACCTACTAGACGACTAGACTCTTTTCCCACCCTCCGTGTCTATACTCAGTGCATTTGTTCCTTTGTTCCTACTTTGGAGCCCGCTACCTCTTTATAGGACATGAAATCCACTTTGAGCGACATCCCCAAAATTACCCCTACTCCGAATGAAGAGGTGAGTTCTCTTATTGAGGTATGTAATCACGCAAATTCTCTTTATTTCATGGCAAAATATATCTGTTTCCGCAGCGTATCACCGACCTACAAAGCATTTGCTACTAGCCTGATGGTTCATCATCTCTCATCCACTATTGAGACGACATTAGCAGACCCTTTCTGGAAAGCTGCAATAATGGATGAGATGAATGCCCTTCAGCGGAATAATATGTAAGATGTTGTGGATCTTCCTCTGAGTAAGAAAACAGTGGGGTTTTGCTGGATTTTTAGCACCAAGTTTAACTCCGATGGATCTTTTGAACATAACGAGGCATGATTGGTCGCCAAAAGCTATTCACAAACATACAGAGTTGACTATGAGTAGACATTTGCTCCAGTTGCTAAATTAATTACCATTCAGGTCGCTATCCCTTGCTGTGAATTTGGATTGGCCCTTGCTAGGTTGCTATCCCTTGCTGTGAATTTGGATTGGCCCTTGCTCAAGCATGATGTCAAGAATGCTTTCCAAAATGAGGATTTCACAGAGGAGGTGTTCACGTGCCTCTCTCCAGGTTTTGACTCTGCTTTCTCCCGTGGACAAGTGTGCCGACAGCGGAAGTCTCTCTACGGACTGAATCAATCCCCAAGGGCTAGGTTCAACAAGTTCACAAAGGTGGTAGTGGGCCATGAACTTTCTTAGGCCCGTCATACTCTTCTTTTGGCATTCCTCCAATGACCAGATTGCTATCTTTATCATCTATGTCGGCGATCTTATGCTCACAGATGACGGTCTACCAGCATTGGAGTCTCTGAAAGACATTCTTGCTATTTTCTTTGAAATGAAGGACTTGAGGTTGCTTCGGTACTTCTTAGGGATGGAGATTGTCGATCATCTAGAGGCATTTGGCTTTCTCAGCGCAAACATGTGCTTGACCTATTGTTAGAGTAATCGTTTTCTTTGCAAACTATTTGCCGTCTCATTGAATCCCAATGAAAAATTATCTGATATTCCTAATGCGGTTTTATTGAACAAGACTCACTACCAATATCTTGTGGGGAAACTCATTTACTTCACCCATACGTGCCCCGACATTTGCCATGCGGTTGGTATTTTGAGTTAATTCTTGCATGATTCCTATGAGTACCATCTCTAAGTTGTCCACAAGATCCTTCACTACTAAAGGCACATCTGACTCAAGTTTATTTTTTTCGTGCAACACCTTTCGTTCTATTTCTATTTGTACAGACGTTGATTGGGCTGGGTCCGTCCATGATTGGCGATCTACCTTGGGGTGTAGCTCATTCGTGCGTAGAAATCTTGTCACATGAAAAAATAAAAAAATAGTTGGTTGTGTCCCGAAGCAGTGTTGAAGCTGAGTTTAACTCCATATCATTGGGTATTCATGAAACTCTCTGGTTACACATCATGCTCCGTGAATTACGTATGCCGATCTCTGCTCCTCTATAAGTGTTTTGCAATAATAAAATCATTATTAGCATTGCCCATAATCCGGTTCATCATGATCACACCAAATAGGTAGAGAATGGACTACACTTCATTAAGGAGAAGCTTGATTCACGGGAGATTTGTGTTCCATTTATTTCATCCAGTGATCAATTAGCGGATATCCTTACCAAGAATCTTCTTCGGCCGTTGTTTGATGATTTTAAATCCAAGCTGAACATGATGGGCATCTATGCTTCAACTTGAGGGGGCATATTATAATTTATTATTTCCGCTGCAATTATTATTAGCCTTTTTTGCTTCCGTTTCCATATTTATTCATTTCCTATGTAGTCTATTTGTGAATTTATGTTTTTCCTTTTATTTGAGTCTTGTAATGCGTATTTATACACTTTTTCATATCAATGAAAGTTGGAGCTCAATTCTCAAAAGTTAACATAATAATTATTAAATATTTATATACAGTGCCCAGTGACACTGAAATATAACATTTCTATATGTATCACATGAAACAAGTGCGATGAAATTTTTGCGACTCTTAAACTTGTGATAATCATGATGGAGGTATGTGAATGAATATTATAGGATAGGAGATTGACATGGAAACTGAGGAAAAAAAGCTTAAAGAATAATGGCATGATGATATTTTGTATTAATTCATGTGCTATCCAACAATTATCTCATTAACATCCATGTTGAGTGAGAAAGGAACTAGAATGTTAAGATGAGTTTTATTGTAAATTTACGAAGTGTGCATAAAGAGTGTGCATATGGTAGCTATTTCAAATTAAGTTAGTTTTTTGGAAGATTGAGGGAGGGAATTTGGGCAACAGATTCAGGTTTTGGGGCATGTGCGTTTGAGCATAAAAGAACTACTAATAAAAATGGGGTTGAATTAAGAGACTTTAGTTTGTTGACATATGTTTTGTATTATCATATTATTAGATGTTAGCTGTTTGGTTCACTAACACCTTTAAATTGTAATTTTGTAAATGAAATTTTAGTTTTATTTTGATATCATCTTGAGATCAATTAATTGTTCAATTTTGAACCTATCAATTTATCTATATTTAGATATTGATGATATATTTATAAAGTTAATCTAACTTATTGATTGTCACTAACCCTAGATTATTACCCCGATAAAAGAATCAATTATTTTTGCTCGAGCTCCATCATATGTTCTACCTTATATATACCATTAGTATACTTTTTAATGAGCATTTTATGAGGAAAACGACAGAAAGTCGATAAAACGGCAGGCAAAAAACGACAGAATTTCCTTCCGGTTGATGGAACAACGGGAACAACAGAGAACTCTAGAAAACGATTGTTATGAGGAAAAAACAGCAGAAATAAATTGATGTAACCCTACGGGAGAAATAATCCACGAACAGTGGGAACTGATGTAACCCCACGACTGCAATTCTATTTTGGAACTAGAAAAGGAGGCCGTCCGGGATGAGGCGCTGGCTGTGAAAACCTACAATGGAGGCCGATAACTGCTGAATCTTGGCTTAGGCTATGATACCATGTTGAGATTTGGAATAGGCCGCTCATCTTTATTGATAGAAGAGGGGGTATTTACACCCAATTACAATAGGCACAGTAAAGGAAAGAAACAAAATGGAATAAAATAAATAAGAACGGAATAAAACAAAATAAAGCAAAAAGAAAATATATAATGAGGGAATTAAAGTTAATAGACAAGAAATAATAAATAATAACGATTAGGGATTTGATTGATTATAAATCTAATAAATGTATATATACGTTCTCTCTTGTACAAGATAAGAACAATAAAAAATTTTAAGAGCTTTTTCTGTTCTTTTTTTTCCACTAGGAAATTGTAGTTGTGGTGCATTAGTGTGGTGAGTTTATCAGCCGGCGTCAAGATGGATGGCATATCCAAGGCATTTCTCAACACTCAGAACGAACTCTTCCCTTAAGAAACCAAGAGGGTAGGACCCCTTAGCGGAATATGACTTTCCTTTGGGGGTACAAAAATTGAATCATAATCAGGTCGAGACTGCTCTACGTTAGAAGCCTTGGTTGTCATGTAGGCGGACTTAAATGAGCACATTAAGGATGGCGCAAATGATGTAACATATTTTTTATTGGCGCAACAAATCTATGAGGGGTCTATTCGTAGGTTTGGTTTGATAATGACATTTTCTATACTAAAGCATCCATAGATAAATGGACTAGCATATCACATTAACTGGCTAGGCCTATTGGTTTATGCCCAATTTTGCCATAACACGAAATTTTTACCCCAAATAAGAGCCTTTTTGGGTTGTGATTGGGTATTGGCTTCTAACTCCCTTTGATGTGGCAAGCCAACTCGTGTGGCCAATGTCCTGTTCGATATCATTTTGCAAGAAATTAGCACGAGTCGGTTGATGAAGCACAAGATAGACTCCAAAAGAAGCTTGATAATGAACAAATATGCCAACAAGGATAAAGACAGTTGAAGTTCAATGTTGGGGACGGTGCTGCTCATACTTACTCCTAAAATTTTGAATAACATTCTAGCAATGTTGCATATCGTGGATTGGTTAAAAAATATGATGGCTGTTTAACAATTATTATTCATGCAATTATGTGGTGCTTTCTTTATCCCAAATTGTATGTTTCTTGTCATAGTTTGTGTTGTGAGAATATGTTGCATGGACTAAATTCTGCGTTGTATTTAAATTTAGCTGAGTGACTTCTATATTGCCCAGTACGACAGTTTTTGCTAAATACAACAACAACAACAACAAACGCCTTAATCCAATAATGTGTGGTCGGCTACGTGAATCCTTTTTCTCCATTGCGTCTATTGAGTATCATATTTTATTTTTTATACAAAAAGCTCAAGTTTTCCTAGGTCTACCTCTACCTTTCTTATCATAAGTCGAATCTAAAACATCTACTATCCTAATCGGATCATCAGATGGTTGACATTTATCAATGTGACAAAATCATGTTTTTGCTAAATAAAGAAAAAAAATTGGTAAGTAATCTTGTGACACTTAGGGTTTGTTTGAGATCATTTTTTTTGTTCTTCTTTTGTTTTTAAAATATATTTGCTTAAAATGTTTTTAACATATATTTTTTTTATTTCAAAAAACAAATAAACATATTTTTGAAGTAACTTAAAATAACATTTGGATTTGGATGTTTCGATTGTTTTAAAAAATATCTTAATCAAACATATCAAAAGTGGTTTGTTTCAAATCAAAACATAAACAAAACAAAATAAATAAAAAAAAAGAACAAAAAAAATAAAAGTGATCTTAAACGGTTGCTTAGTATTATTTGTACTTTGTTAAAAGTGCTCTGTATCTTACTAAACAAATTGCGAGGCAGTTATTTACTCGGCACTGGGTTTATTTTCATGAAATATTTTGTTTTAATTCTTTTGAAACTAATTATCAATTTCTTGTTACTTGCAGCTGAGTTTGGAAGATTTCCGGTCCATTTTATCCAGATGTAAAATGTTGCAAGCGACTGAAGAAAAGTGAGATGTTTGCATTCCTTGTGTAATGATATTTAGTATTCCACCTTTGCAAAATGACATCCACCCCCCAACCCATATAATTTGTGATCAGAACTGAAAGTTTTATGTATGCCTGATATGATGGGACACAAAGTTCCATGAGCCTCGCAAGAGCATTGTACGGCGGCCGTTTGCCACTCAGATGCAGCCCATATGCTAATGCTGAACATTACAAGGAGCCGTTTTCATGCCAATGTTTCCCTGACTTCAACTTTAACCGATGCCTTCGCACAAAACTTTACTTCTGTAATTATTTTTCCTGCAGATCCGTAGTCGCTTTATTGAAGTATTTGTGCATCACAATCTTTTCTTATTTAAATTTTTTGAAAAGCATTTTTTTTTCTTATTTTTAAAATTGTTAGCAATTCTTTCATTCTTTTACTTCTGTTCTAAGTATATTTGTTTCTATAATTGATAATCACGTTAAGGGAATGCTTATTTATTTATTTATTAAAATTGTTCAATTACATCAGCAAAAATGC